AGTTCCGGGAAGACATTGCGTTTAGGGATTTGGGGGTTTAGGGTTTAGAGTATTTAGGGTTTTAAGGGTTTAGGGTTTTTTTGGGATTTAGGGTTTAGGAGTTTAGGGTTTAGGGGTTTAGCGTTTAGGGGTTAGGGGTTAGGGGTTCAGGGGTTTAGGGCTTGGGGGTTTAGGGGTTTAGGGGCTTAGGGGTTTAGGGTTTACGGGTTTAGGGGTGCAGGGGTTTAGGGTTTAGGGGTTAGGGGTTAGGGATAAGCGGAATGATTTTCAAGAGCGCTGCTGATCTTGGGAATCATCACTGTAGTGGTCGTAGTAGTAGTGCTGGGCGTAGTAGTCGTAGTCGTAGTAGTGGTAGTATTAGAAGTAGAAGAAGGAGCAGTCAGTGGCTGCCACTACCACTATGTTGACGACGAGACTACTCGACGACTACGACGACGACGACGACGACGACGACGACGACTACTACTACTACTACTACTGCTACTACTACTACTACTGCTCGGACTGAGAGTCAGGATGGTAAGACGTCTGTTTATAGGGTTTGGGGTTGCAGGTCCCTCGCAGCTGCTGGAACGGAAGGAAACTTCTGGGTTCCACGATGGTGAGCGTGATGCTGCTGAGGATGATGGTGCTTGTGGTCATGGTCATGCCCTGAAGATGTGATGTAGGAGACTCGCTAGTACGATATCGTGCTGGTGTCACGTAGTTAGAAGCAGGTTCGCTTATGATGGTGATGATGAAGATGATGTTGCTGACAAAGCGGCCGGCGGCGATGATGTAGGTGATGAGGAGAATGCGGAGGAGGGCGAGCCTTCGGCGAATGAAGGCAACTTGAGGAAGAGGATGAGCAAGTAGGATGCTGCCGGAAGGGATGGCTGCGGTGACGACGAGCCGGTGCTGATCCGAGTCTTCATGTCATTATTGCCCTTGCCCTTGTTGATCTGGGTTCTTGTTAAGGGATTCAATTTAAGTTACCATAATAGGGATCTATAGTAAATAATATGGTTTCCTTATTATGGTAACTTAAATTAAATCCCTTAACAAGAACCCAGTGATTTTCGTGTTGGATGCGGCAGGAGCCGGAAGTCAAGGAGAACATGACAGAGAACGAGATCATGACTCTCAATTGGCTCCTGGGCCATTCTGTTAGTGTGCGGAAAAAGTTGGTAGCATTACTGGGTTCTTGTTAAGGGATTTAATTTAAGTTACCACAATAAGGAAACCATACTATTTACTATAGATCCCTATTATGGTAACTTAAATTAAATCCCTTAACATGAACCCAGATTAGTTTCGTATGGACGGAATACAATTCGAACGCAATGCCACCCCCCCCCCCCCACCATCCACTCACAAAGCCCTACTCTGGTTGCTAAGGCTTCTCTGCTCCGACCTAAGGCACGCGGAAGCCGCAACCTTCCAGACCAAACCTCAATGCCCTGCATCCAGTGAAGCCTTCCCTTTTGTCGTAAACCAGTGCTGTGCGCAGCGCAGACTTCCAAATGTCGGAGTAGAATTTGTAATGTCCGGGCCTGAATGAGTGAGTGAGTGAAGTAGAACCAGCACTATTCGTCAGGGTTCCTGCACGTTGTTACAGTAGGACCCCTGAAAGCCCCTAACTTGGGCGATCGTTCATGCACCTTTTCTATGAGACCTCTGTAGAAACCCTAAGGAACGCTTGAGCAGACACGCTGTGTTAGTGAGAATCCCGGTTGCTTAAACCTTAAACCCTCAACCCTAAACCCTCAACCCTAAACCCTAAACCCTAAATCCTCAACCCCCAACCCTCAACCCTCAACCCTAAACCCTCAACCCTAAACCCTCAACCCTCAACCCTCAACCCTAAACCCTAAACCCTAAAACCCTTGAGGGCATTCTTTGGTTTGGAATTCCTGGGTCCAGGCCTTCATAAGGATCCTGCTGGGCTTTTTGTGGGCTTTAGGCTTTCAGGGTTTAGGGTTTAGGGTTTAGGGTTTAGGGTCTAGGGTTTAGGGCCCGTGGGCCTTCAGGGGTACCATAGGGACATAAGGTCCCCTTTGACTGGGTTCTTGTTAAGGGACTTAATTTAAGTTACCATAATAAGGAAACCATATTATTTACTATAGATCCCTATTATGGTAACTTAAATTAAATCCCTTAACAAGAACCCAGTTGAGGGTACTCTAGGGTTCCATAGTCAGGTCCCCTTTTGTGGTGCTTTGGTCGGAGCTGGTTCGGGGGCCCCTGAACTTTGGTAGACAGCGGCGTAAGCTGACGGTTTGAGGATGTTTCCTGCCCTTCCAACCTACTACCCTAAACCCTAAACCATAAATCATCATAAACCTTAAGCCCTACTAAACCCTAAACCCTAAACTACACCCTAAACGGACCTCGCATGCCAAGGCTGCAGGGAGCCAGCATCGCCAATGGAAGGCTTTTGGGGTGGTGTCCGGTTTCGCCTTTTGCAGCTCGGGGGCTCTATTTGTGGGGTTTTGCTTTTCTCGGTTCTGCACGGTTCAAAGCTTGCGGCTTTGGGATTGACCCTGAGGTGGGGAGGTTGCTTGAACTCAATTTCAAAACGGTCGTGGACTCAATTGTTGCATATGCACGCCAGAAGTTCTCGTCGGATTTCGCGCACGGGGCTTTAGCCCTGAGGTTTGTTTTGCTATGCTTGCTATCTTGCTGCCAGCATCATCAGCGGCATTTGGATTTCATTGCTCACGGTTCTGACTTTAGTGTTGCAGCTGCTGTCGTTCATAGTGTGCATAGTGACTGAGGAATGATGCTGCTGAAAAGTACCAATACCATTTTCGGGGTTTCTTAATTATAGTAGAATGGGCCCCAAAACCCTATTCTGATTCTTAAGGCCCCTATACTAATCCCTTATAGAACCCTTGTACTAACCCTTGTAGTAACCCCTAAACAGAACCCCATTCTAATTCTTCAGGCCCCTATATTGTGCGTAGGCCTAAACCCTAAACCCTAAACCCTAAACCCTAAACCGTTGGGTTTAGGGGAGGCTTCCGGGCCGGGGAAAGTTCAGGATCTGGGGATGCGGAGGCCTGGCAGCTTCTGGGTTCTTGTTAAGGGATTTAATTTAAGTTACCATAATAGGGATCTATAGTAAATAATATGGTTTCCTTATTATGGTAACTTAAATTAAGTCCCTTAACAAGAACCCAGGCTTGGTAGGTAGGTTGAGGGTGGGCCGCTTTTGATATGGGCAGTTTTCTAAAATGGGGTCCCTTTTGGGGTCCTCTTCATAAGGGTGCCGTACCATATTGGGGACCCAAAAGGGGACCCTAATTTAGAGAACTACCCATATGTCTCGGATGTAGATGGTGTAGAAGCCCGAAGAAGTCTATTGAGTACAAACTGCCCCTACCCCTTTGGGTAAAGAACAGCCTTGCTAGTTGTGGGCTTTTGGATGATCGGTCAGGCGTTCGGGTGCAATCTGAAACCCCTGAACCCTAAACCCCTAAACCCTGTACGTGCAGCCGGAAAAGAGCCCATAAACAAAAAAACGAAACCCTAAACCCTGCACCCTAAACCCCTAAACCCTAAACCCTGCACCCCAAACCCCTAAACCCTAAACCCTACACCCTAAACCCTGCAATAGAAGTATCTAGGCTTCCACATTACGGTTTAGGACCCCAAGGTCCGAGGGCTCAGGTTCCGAATCTCGGTTCCTCTGCAATGCAAGAAACCAGACGACGGGTTTAGGGCTCAGGGTTCAGGTTTTAGGGTTTGGGGGTTTAGGGGTTTAGGGTTTGGGGGTTTGGGGGTTTTTGGTTTTGGGTTTTGGGTTTTGGGTTTTGGGTTTAGGGGTTTAGGGGTTTAGGGTTTAGGGTTTAGGGGTGTAGGGTTTAGGGTTCAGGGGCCCGCATAATGACCTTTACTATTTTTTGGTGGCTCCTTATCATCATGATGGTATAACACGTCCCATGACCCTATTCTAAGTATTCAGGCCCCTACATTACCCAACAGTGGTTCTTAGCGCTCCTTGTTAACATGATACTAGAAAGGAGCCCAAAACACTGTTAACGGTATGAAAATCCTAAACCGAACAAAGTGGCGCCTGACGATTTAGTAATAGTATTCCTGATAGCCGCCCTTAATGTAACTATAACATATGGGTAGTTCTCTAAATTAGGGTCCCTTTTTGGGTCCCCAATATGATACGGCACCCTTATACAGAGGACCCCAAAAGGGACCCTAACTTAGAGAACTACCCATATAGAAACCGACAAAGGCCGAGTTCAATCGTTCAGGCGCCCGAATAACAGAACCCTGAAAGGACCCTCATACTACATTTCATTGTTCAAGCCCAAGCCCCGCGTCGTAAGCTCTAAACCCGAAACCCCAAACTTTTCAGAGACCTGAACCCTTAACCCTTAAACCCCTAAACCCTGAAGCGAAAACCCGAAGCCCGAAACCCTGAACCCCAAACCTCAGCACCTTGTTGCTCGCAGGAGAGCCATGGGCGTCGGGGGCTAAGCGCTTGGAGCGGCTCCGGATTCGCCACCTTACACTGCATCCCAGAAAGTTGGACAAGTTGGATATGCCGTAATGTGCCTGTGTATATACATACACACCTATATATATATATATATATATATATTATATTTGAAACGTGTATCATATATATATATATATGCATACATATATGCATATA